GTGATGGTGTGTAATTTCCTAGAACGCTAACAAAATACTACCTGAAAAACACCTGTCCTTAATGAAACAGACAGAAAGAAGTGACTTATGGAAATTAAAATGGAACATGTGTTAAAAACAAAAACAAAAACAGGGACAATAGCCAAAAAGAGCTAATTTCCACTGTGAATAAACTTCCACAAAATGCCAGGTTGCGTCAAGCTTATTCTCAAAAGGAAGAACATGGTTCAGTTTCACTATTAAAAGAGTGGTTTCTCACTATTCCAAAAAGGAAATGGAACACTGAGAACTAGGACACCTTAGCCCTTTTATATTTGGCAGTCCAGACACAAAAACTGTAGCCTTAGTGGATTTTTAAGAACAGCTGAATGTACTTAATTCTGTCTATATCCCCAAAGTGAACAGGGAAGTAAACATATAAATAAGCTAACTAAAAAAGAAGAAAAGAAACTTTACCAAAAACCTCTTATTCCATTCACACCATATTAAAATCATTCACCACTCAGCTGAACTCGCCATTCATTCACCAACTCCATCTTGCCAAATTCTTGCCATCTTACCCTCTCCATCTCCTGTTGAACATAAACCCTGATCATAACTGCTCACTTACTTGTCTGTTTGCAAGCATGTCTCTTCTGAAGTGTTTTGTTTTTTGTTTTGTTTTCAGAAAAGTGTGTTTATCCAACAACGATGCACACAAACCTTAAAAGACGAATCATTTCCTAGCACTATCATGATGAAAGTTAACACTAGTTCTTAACCAAAAAATTAAATAGAAAGTTTGAGAAAGATTTGAGTTTTTTCCTCTAATTTGTAAGTGAATATATATAAAAGCTCTTCTTTTGAAAATAATAATTACATGAATTTGAAAGAAGAGCAGAATATCTGAAATAAATGGCCACTATTATCCTTATACTTTTTTCCTCCCCAAAAGTTCCCTTAGACTCTCCCTAAATTCTCTCTATCTTATCATTTCTCATTCAGTCTTTTGAGAGATTTTTCTTACCAAAAGGGATTCAATTTTAGTTTCTGGAGAGGTTTCTTCTGATGTTTTCTTATTATCTGGAAAACTGAGAAAGAATTATTAGAAGAAAAAGGGATAAAACCAAAGCACTTACCAGGCCAATGAAGCAATAAAAGAAACAAGGCCCTAACTGACCAGGCAATAATAGTTTTGCAATTATAAATCAATTTTGCACCAGCAGACTTAGAACTCCCTAAAATAAGCTTGAAACATGAGCTCATGTTCTTTTTCATAAAAGCTACCCTTTACAAGAAAAGATAACGTAATAAAGCCAACTGATGATGTGGATGACAGAGTGACTTTTCTGTTACGTCCCTCGCCATGCTGGGCTCCATTCAAACGTTCGGTAAACATCAGCTCACCCACAGGCAGAATGAACATTTACCCAAACAGTTTAAATGCATACTGGAGGGTTCCTTTACATACAGTCTAATAATTACTAAATACCATCTCAATTTATTAAGCTGTTTGGGACAAACTGACAAGTACTTATTTTAGGTGTACCTTCATAACTTAGAAAAAGAGATCCAATATATTCCAATATGTTCTTGAATGAAAAAAGTACAAACCATAAAACAGTACGTACAATAACATTAAGTGGGCGTACATACACAGAAGTTTTTAAATGAATGTGCCGAAAACATTAACAATAATTATCTTTCTGCATTTACCTCTTCTATTCCCAATTTTCTACAATGAACAAAAAAGAATACATATAAATAAAACATAGTACTTTACTAGGCTATGTTAAATCACATCTTTGTTTACTACTAGATGTCTCCAGCAGGATCCAAATTTTGCTTGAACACTGAATAACTTTAACTCATAACCCCTTTCAAGGAACAAAAAATCGACCTTCTTTAAAATCACCATGATGCAAAACACATCTTGGGTGCTTTAAAAAAATAGCTAGGTACTATAATGGACAAATAAAAATCGTTTCTCTAACATTAGAATAGACAGATCTAAATTGCTTAAGAAAACATATACAAAATTAAAAAGAACTTCTTTAGGAGATTTTCATGAGTTAAACTATTTGCAAACCACAGTTTCACCTACGTCAATACACAACATTTTAAAACCACACAAAAGGAAAGGAAATTTTTAGCACAGCCAGCAGTCTTGCAACAGGATTCTACTGGTACTACTGCAGCTAGAGCAACAGCTCGCACGCTTCTCTGAAGACTTGAGAGAGAGGCCCCCTGAGGCTCAGAGAATATAACCCCAGGTATGTCTTTTTAAATACTTAATATATTCAAACATCTTTCCATGGAAGGGAAATCTATGATTCTCAGTGTTTAAATCATATAAGTTGAAAATGCCAACATGTAATAAGGTTGCTGCATGAGGACACCAATTACTAAACTTCCATAAAAAAATCTAATGAGTTTATTTTCTAAGCAACGGGCACTGGATACAAAGGAGACACTTGAAATCTTTTCTTGATTTTGCTGGAGTACTTCTGGGTACCTCAAATTCCACAGGCTAATAGGGGGTTGACAAAATATTTATCAAGCATTTAGTTTTCAAATTTGTGACAGAGAACACAGATATAATTATGGTATAATTTAACCTCTAATTGACACAACCAAAAATTTTAAATGAAGAGAGTTGGTTTTTGTTGTGATCTAGACTGAGGTTCAGGGAAAGCAACTGTGAGGCACTAAGCATGACTGAATAGACACACTGTAATTGTTTTTAAATAAATTACCCATGGGTACTATGTATGGTCAGTTCTAGTTATAGAGAACATTAATCGATCAAATCATTCTCTAATCCTTCTCTTTACTATACATTCTTCTATAAAATGAAACTTTATCATATAATTGTATGAGCACTGGGAACACTTAAAAAGCATGTTATTATGTTACTATTATGTAACATCGGAAATATAAGAGCATAACCCCAAATCCTAGCACCTCATAAAGGAACAATAAGCAGAGGTAGGAGACAAGCATCAATTTACAGCAACATTAGCTTTTGACCCAGAGGAGGAAAGGACGTTCAAGATGCCATGGTACAAATAAATGGTTACTACCAAAAATCAGAGTCATAAGGAAGTCAGTGAAGCCTGGAACAGACTTCAGCTGTGAAAAGCTTCCTCCAGGCCTTTAGAATAGGCAGGATTTGGGCACAGAAAGGATAAAAACAGAGTCTAGAAAATGATCAACGAGGTGAGATACTAGCCTGCTCCAATGAGCAACACTCAAGTGTCAGACCTCAGTTGCCTCAACTAATCTGGGAGACTGGACTAGGCGCTATCAATAAAGGTTCCCCCATCCTTAATGACCTATGTTCCCAAATTTTTATCACAAGTACAAAGGCAGGAAGAAACAGTTCACGGAACAGTAGTGATCCCACCAATATAAAGCAGAGAGCTGGGATTAAGACTGTGGGGATGGTGTGGAAAAATTACATCATAGAAAACTTTGAAAGGAAAGGAGGTTCAGACTTAAAGGACAGAATCTGTTTGTTTTTAAATGTATATAGTAAAATAAAACATTAACACACATGCAGTCTAAACTTCTTTTATTAATATTTAGAAAAAAACTTTAAATATTTTATTTCTGCTCCCTTACATGAAAATTGCTTAGAATATAGTTCCTGCCACATAGTAAGCACTCAGTTAAGGTTGGCTGTTTAATAATAATTTTCATCTTCATTATTACTAGTAGTAGCAGTAGTAGTAGTAGTAGTAGTAGTAGTAGTAGTAGTAGTAGTAGTAGTATTGAGACAGAGCTTCTGAGATCAGACAGTCCAGATTGGAAACCTGGTTCTAGAACTAGCTATATAACCTTCAGTGTTACTTAACCTCGTTGTGCCGGTTTCCTCATCTGTAAAACAGGTATAACACCTGCATGATAGGAATGATAAAAGGTTAAATAAATACATGTAAAGTATTTAGCACAGTGCCAGACACAAAGTAAGTGCTTAATTAGTACAGAGTGACATTATCCATGGATCCCAAAGTCCTATCTTAGGTAAGAAAAGGTTAAGGACAGGTGCCCTTTAAATGACTCTTTAATTTAGAAAGATTTATGTACATTTGCCTTATGAATCTACTTGCTTACTGTTTCATCTCAAGATAAACAATGGATCATTAAATAATTAGGAGAATCAGTAAGGATTCAGAAGTTTTTGGTCTTTGTTTTTTTTTTAAAGAGAGGTTTGTGTGAATGGCCTTATTTGGCCTTCTTAGTCAGCCACTATACATACTACATACTACTTTTAAAAAGTTGCATGTCAACTTTTCCCTGCCAAAACACAAAAATAATCCTCTTATTAGAACAAAAAAAAAAGGTGTTTAACATGCATGAGGGAGCATATCAAGCAGCACCGCCAGAAAAAAGTATCTGTGGCTTTAAGAGTATCTGACTGCACCAAGTCAAAGGCAGTAACTGAAACCCAATTAGTTTAACTTGTGCTTATATACCACCCTTGTTCCAGATTTGGAGGGAACATAAGAAGATTTTGTCATTATCATTGTTGATCTAAGTGTATGTCTTATACTTCTGGGCTTGTCTGCCTCAAAACCCACAAAGAAAGAAAAAAGAAAAGAAAAAAACACTCAAGTGTTAACATCAGATTGTTTTGATACTGATATAACTGAGCTTCTGTCTGAGAATTTTGTAGCTAATGTCATACATCCTTGTTCTAGAAGCCTTTAAAATACATTCTTTATCAATTTTCTCAAAAACACTGACAAACATCTCTATACAAACACTATCTAAAAGAAATATAATACAAACCACAGAGGTAATTTAAAATTATCTAGTAGCTGAATTTAGAGAAGCAAAAACAGGAGAAATTTTAATAATATACTTAACCTTATATATCAAAAATATTTCAACATATATTTGACATAAAAATGTTAATATTTTACTAATTTTTACACTATTTATATAAACAAGTATAATTTTACTAGTTATAATGGTTTTTTTTACAGTATTTTATACTAAATGTTCAAAACCCAGTGTATATTTTGCATTTACAACACATATCAAAATTTGGACTGGCCATGTTTCAAGTGCTCAATATCACATGTGGCTACAGGCTACCACACTGGACATCACAGGCCTATACCATTATGAAACTGGATGCACGTAAAAGTGAAATAATAAGCACCAATTCTAGACCAGATTCTAATCCTTCAACTCTTTCTGCTAAAAAGAAAAATGAAATGAACCTTCTGACTGTGAAAATGTTCTAGTAGGTTAGACAATAAAGGGCCTACTTTTTAGATAACACCTTTTAAATTTCAGTATAATTTTCTATTACCCTCTACATCCTAGGTTCCTCTAGTATTTCTTTTTTCAATCAACATATGAAAAAAAGCAAGCCAGGAAGCCTCACTGAAAAGCTCTTCAGGCTTAGCCACAGTCAAACCATTTTACCCTGGTTTCCTCTATTTCTCAGAATTTTGGTTCACTTATCTCCTCTGCAAACTAACTTCCAACCCAACTAGTAACAAAAGTGCTATCAGAATACAAAAGTATGATGTCCAAAATATCCCTTCTAGAAACAGATCTAAATGGGATTTCCCAAAATCACAAAATCAGACCATGAAAAACCCAGGCTTCCTCATAACCTAAGATGGTCTCATCCAGTCCACATGGTCTAGTAAGTTTACCAGTAAAATTCTAAGAACTAGAAAGACTGTGACCATGGTATTGTGAGTACAAATGATTTTAAAGAAATTAATTCCTAACTATAATTACTAACCTCCCTCCCCTTCTTTTTTAACAGAGTCTGAATTTTTTTTTCTTTCTCTTTTGGAGAAGAGTCATCCTTACGTTATCTCAAAATGACAAACAGTTCTACTTTCTGTCCGATTTACAGAGATCTGGAGCCATTCCCTTATTTTTTTTATTTAGTTTTCCTTATTGGAATTATTGGAAGTGGTTTTGCAACCTGGGCTTTCATGCAGAAAAATACGAATCACAGGGGTGTAAGCATATACCTAGTTAATTTGCTTACAGCCGATTTCCTGCTCACTCTGGCATTACCAGTGAAAATCGTGGTCGACTTGGGCGTGGCACCCTGGAAGCTGAGGATATTCCACTGCCAAGTAACAGCCTGCCTCATCTACATTAATATGTACCTATCGATTATCTTCTTAGCGTTTGTCAGTATCGACCGCTGTCTTCAGTTGACATACAGCTACAAAATTTATCGAATACAAGAACCTGGATTTGCCAAGATGATATCGACCGTCGTGTGGGTGATGGTCCTTCTTATAATGGTGCCAAACATGGTGATTCCTATCAGAGACATCAAGGAAAAACCAAACGTGGGGTGCATGGAATTCAAAAAGGAGCTCGGAAGAAACTGGCACTTGCTGACAAACTTCCTATGTATAGCTATATTTTTAAATTTCTCAGTTATCATTTTAATATCTAACTGCCTTGTGATTCGACAACTGTACAGAAACAAAGATAACGAAAGTTATCCAAATGTGAAAAGAACTCTCATCAACATACTTTTAGTGACTACAGCCTACGTCATATGTTTTGTTCCTTATCACATTGTCCGAATCCCATACACTCTCAGCCAGACCGAGGTCATATATGACTGCCAGACCAGGATTTCACTCTTCAAAGCCAAAGAGGCCACCCTGCTCCTGGCTGTGTCAAACCTGTGTTTTGATCCTATCCTGTACTATCACCTCTCAAAAGCATTCCGCTCAAAGGTCACTGAGACTTTTGCTTCGCATAAGGAGAGCACAGCTCAGAAAAAAAAATCAAGTTGTGAAAACAATGCATAAAATATGGGATTTTTCAGGCTATCACTTCTTGCCCTACTGGACGATAAGTACAAAACTACTGGGAAAGAGAAAAAAAAAGAGCCTCAAGATGTAAAAATACAGTCAGCAAATATGGCCTGGTTTACTGTGAAACTTTGTTTTTAATCAATACCTGTGGTTGTTGTCGCTCCTTAACTCAAATCTTCGTGCAAAAAAAATAAAGTTTTGTTGAACCAATGTCAAACCCTTCAATATAGTTGAAATACAAATGACTTCTATGACAGAAGCACAGAAGTATTCATGAGGTATTTATTTAAATGCCTGGAACTGACTTCTTGATAAAAATATGCAAAATATAGGTGACCCTTGAACACTGGTTTGAACTGCATGGGCCCCACTTACATGCAAATATTTTTCAATAAATACGCACAGTACTATACATGTATTTTTTTCTTCCTTATGATTGCCTTAATAACATTTTGTTTCCTCTAGCTTACTTTATTGTAAGAATACAGTATACAGTACATATAGGATACAAAATATGTGTTAATTGACTGTTTATGTTACCAGTAAAGCTTCTGGTATACGTTAGGCTATTAGTAGTTAAATTCTGGGGAGTCAAAAGTTACACACAGAATTCTGATTGTGTGGGGCATCGGCACTCCTAAGGTCTGCATTGTTCAAGGGATAACTGTAATTTCTATGTAAACTGCCACAAAGCTCTTTAGCTACACAATTTAAAGCCCTTTGGATGATTTTTTTTTAAAGCCGGCTTATTATTTCCATGAGACCATCCATGCCTGATTTTTAATACATCACTTCAAAGATGGTAACCTTTTAAATTGCTACTCCAGTTTTTAACATCTAATTGTTTTCTAACACAATAACTGAAAATTTTACTTCTAAAAAGGCTTGGAAATACATGGGTAATTTTTAACGTACTATAAATACTTAATTCTACTTGAAGGTTATAAGTAAATATTTTCTACGTGGTAGTGACAAATCCAATGGTCTCTTATTTTTATTTTGTAGTGACATAAAATAAACCCTACGACATTTTCAAGGGGTGTTCTTAAAGCATACTAACTGCTAAAACTACTGTTTTGCCACCAGAAACTCACCTTAAAGGTGTGGAAAAATAGCACTAGTCAAATGGTCTTAAAATAGATATCCCGACTCCACACAGCAAGGCCCTGTTAGGGATGCAGCACGTGCCTGGGCCGATTGGTGCCACTCTGATCCTGAAAATAAGTCTGACCCCATGTGGGGCCAGCAGATTAAAACATGGGTGACTCCAGCTCTCAAGGTCACAACCCTTCGATTAAATTCTCTTTACAGCCAGTAATGCAGAAAGGGTTCAATCGACAGAATTAAATAAAAGGCTTATTGAGGAAAAGAAGATTGGAAAGTTTAGATAAACATATATGAGACTTTATAAGTTTTATGTTTCTACTTTAATAGTAAAAGCTCATATTAAAACAACTGTTAATACATTAGCATTAACTGCAATGATTAAGAAATGGTGTTTCTGAATCTAACAAAAATTTTGATTCCAGACCCATTTTTAGCTCTGCATTGAGAAGAATTATTTTCTGAAGGCTTGACTTCACCAAGACAGCTCCTACCTATAATTCCACAAATATATTCTGAGTTTGAAGAGAATAATAAATGAAACAATGAACAAAAGAGAGTGCCTATTACACTCCTAACATAAGTACTAAACAAATTCTAGCTAGCTTGTGATAATGATAGTGTTAGGTAGCTAGTCAGATATGAGTGACAGGAATAGGGGCCCAGCCTAAAGACCGCCCAAAGAACACCCCAATGGTAGCAGAATACTGGGTACGCACATGTGCACTAGGCAGAGTTATATAGCAGCCAAGTGTCAATCAAAATGACTTTGCTTGCCAATCACCTAGGAATGCCTTTGGAACCATCCATCACAGTCCAAATACTATGCAGACATTTCCACTTCTGCACCTTTTCGCCCTCTTGCTGTTGTGGTTGTTGTTATAGCACTCTGCTGAAATCACATGTCTCTTTGGGACACGCTTTGTCTTTCTAAAATATACCTTTAATAAATCTTTTCTAAAGCTCACTGACATGTGATTTTTCACTGCATCAATGAGGAAGAACCACTTTTGCGATGTCATTATCCCTTTCCCTCTCCCTGGCTGTTGGGGCGACACCGAACTCCGATGGGCTCCAACAGTAACAACAGAAATCCCCATCAGCATCGCCTATCTGACAAGGTATATACAAGGGTCTTTCCTGTGTCACAGGCTGGTGGAAGGTCTGCCTATATACGAGAACCTGTGCTTGCTGGTAGTCTAAGAACATGTTTTTACTGAGGGGCGGATCACGATAATATTCATATAAGAGCATTCATGAAACCAGTTTATTTTTCTGAATCTTTTGGTCAAGTCCCCTTTAGCTCTCTCACCTAGGTCTTCACTTACTAGGGCCAGATCTTAGAGACAGGGTGGAAAAACCTCTTTTTCAAATTATATTCTTATATTCTCCTCATATGCCTGATAAGCTAGTCGAATATTCCCTTTTTAGTAAGAAAGAGAACCAGACTCTCTGGAGCATTCCTAATGTCAGTGTTATATTAGTATATACTTTTATTTCCCCTATTGATGGCTTATTCTAAATTACATTCACAGTAAAGGGGGTTTTAGGGCAACTGGTAATGGAAGGCTATTAATTATATCCTATCATATCAATTTTCTAGCAGTTCTTTTATAATTGCATTACAGTTGAATTATGGCATAATTCATCATGAGACTGAGTCACTGGAAATCATTCATGCTCTTTCCTCCAGGGAAGTGGACAGTCCTTAGAAGGCTAAATGCTGGAAATGACCATGCAGCTAAGGGTCACACAACAACAAAACAAACAAGTCCATGCTTGGGTGCTGCTTTGCTCTAACACCCAAAGACATGAAAAAGGGAGACCTGCCGCTCTGCTTACCCAAGAGAGGGGCACAAAACCCTCAACCAGTTTCAACTATTTTCAACATTTTGCCGTTTTTCTTCATTTCCCCTATTTTTTCTTTTTTTTTTTCTTTTTAAATAAACTTATTTTGGAAAATATAAGATTTACAAGAAAGGTACAAATACAGTACAGAGAGTTTCCATGTACGTTTCACCTAGTTTGTCCTAATATTAATGCCTTACAGAAAATAATCATGATACATTTGTCAAAACTAGGAAATGAATCTTGGTGCATTACTGTTAACTAAACTCCAGACTTCAATTATCCACTCTGCTTTTGACTCTATTTTAAAACAATCCCAGATATTATAATTCATCCATGAATTCTTCAGGATATATCTCCAATATGTCAGGCTTCTCTTTCTGCTGCCCTAAATAAACTGACATTATTCCACTACACTGAAAATGAGCAATGCTTACAAGTAACAGCTGAAAACGGTGAATATATTCGGCCAATGATTACAGAGAAAGAATTTTGGCAACTTTAGACATAGACCAGGACATAAAAAAATTAACAGCAAAAAGAGTTCTTAATTATAGTAAAAAATACACACACACACACACACACACACACACACACACACACGTAGTGATTTTGATGCTTCAAAATAACAAACAAACAAAAAAAGAAAACATTTAGTATGCAGATTAAAACTCCTCAAAAATATCCAAGGAAAAAAATATAATATATACCTCATAATTACATTTTTGTTAAAATAATAATGTCTTCAATGAAAATTATACATTGAAATTGCACTTAAAATAAAATTTCAGGAAAAAAAAAGATAGTGAACATAAGAATAAAAAAACATAGATCTGGGCCCAATCTTCAGTACTAACACCAAAAAACTAACTTGTTTCCCCTTAGAATAAAGCACATTGACTCATTATGACTCAAACATTAAATTTCCTGGCAAGAATTCTCCATATCCTATTCAGTTCTTAAATATAACAGGTCAAAAAACAAATCCAGCTCATATACAAACTCTTCTGCGAAACCTTAACTAATTTATCAAACAGATGCTCTCTCTCCCCTCCAATATCCATTCTTTGAGAGTGGAAGAGACCCAGGAATGTCAAACAGTTCACCTTCCAGTGGACACAGTTTTTACTCAATTACTGAACTTATTTTAATGTTTGTCATTTTATAGACATTTGTTGTCCTATCTTATTCATCTTTCCTGTGCCCCCAAATTCTTACTCATCTGCATAATACCAAAAGTACCTACCACAATACAGAGCATATAAAAGCTACTCAGTAAATGAGTTTCAAACTGAAGCAGAAAAACATATTTAGACATCATCTGCTGTGACTCAAATGCTCTTGATAAATGGATACTAATATAGAAAATTCTCTTGAATGTAGCCCGCCAGTAGTATCATACCACAAATTTGGACATCAGTACATAAGTTATATGATCAGAATTATAACAGAAGCAGTGAATACAAACACTTACCTGCTGTCATATGTATTATTCAGGCAAGCAGTTGACTAATCAGTGGTTAAGAATCCTATAATGAAATAATCAGGTTGTCAACCGACTGGAGCAATGACTTACCAGAGGTATGGGAAAATGTGTTGCATACTGCAGGTGTCGCAGGAGGTCATAATTAGATGGAAAAATTAACTCTCTTGGTTTTTCTCTCTTCAGCAACTTCTCACCATTAACCGACATTCTTCTGCCCAAGGAAGGGTTGGCATTCTCACAGGACTCTCCAGGCATAGGAGAAAATATCTAAGTCATGTAAAACAAATGTTGGAGATTGTTAATGAAAGAGATCAAAACCGAAACATGGTGCTATGTACCAGAACTTCAAACACACAGGACATTCATACAATATCTTTTCCTTATTTAACCGCTAAGCAAAATGTATAAAAGAAATGTTGTTAAATTCCACAACTTCATATTCAGATCATTAGAAATCTGTCACTATCATCCCCCACTTTGAAGATGAGAAAATGACAACCACACATAGGAAATGTAGCTACATTTCCCGGAGGACCAAGATAAAATCGGACCTATGGATAAGTGTTTTCCTTGTAGGGCTACATTTCCCACAAAAACATATACATAGAGATAGTTACCTAATAAAGCTAATGAGTAAGAAACATAAAGGTTTTAGTCTATACCCCAAGTAATATTTTTTATAAAGGGTTACACATTAAGATCCATGAGGAAGAACACATTATAATTATACTGAGATAAAGTAGAAGACTGTGTGTATATCAAGTCCAGAGCCAGGAAAGCTATTATTTCGAAGCTGAACACATACACAGCAAATCAACATGAACTGTCATGATGAAACTACTACATTCCTGTATTCCTGAGAGATAACGATTTCAAAATGAAAAAGAGAGTCACACTATATCAACTAGGAGGACGGGAGTATTATAATTTAAAGAAGAAAGTAATGCAGCCAAAACTGAGGATGAACTGAAATGAGACAATCACAGGGAAGATTAACTGTGACCTAACGCGGAATATGGTAGGAACACAATATACATCACAAGTACACAAGTCATTCCAGTACACTGGGGAAGAAACAGAAGTGTGGAGGCAAGCTAGGGTAGGGGTGAGGAGGAGGGGTTAACAGTCAATAAGAATTCAAAGTTTGAACCTACTGGAAATTCCGAACCAAAGTCAGTTTTAAAGTCACTCTTGTCTACTTCATCAAAAATATTAGTAGTTCCTGAGTCAATGCCCATATGTGCCATAATAGTCTGTTCCTGATAATTGCCAGAGAAAGAAAATCGCATTGTAAATTTTGTAGTTTGTTAGAAAACTGAAGCAAAAACATGACAGTGTCATTTTTAACCATCCTATGCCTTATTCCCTCCTAGTGTCCTTTTTCCCCTAAAGTAAAGAACAAACTTTTAAGATATTCACTGCTTTTCAGAGTCGCATTCTTTGTCTTCATGATGAGAAAGATTTAAGTTCCATATTTTAAATGAAGAGCATACAAACTTCCTGATAAAAACAAACTGGCCATAACTTTCTTCTCTGAGCTGTTCCCAGTCACATGCTCATCAACTTTTCTTAGAAGGAAAAATCTAAGAATATATCTAAGACATAAAATACCTTGATATCCAAGGATAAAATAAGAAAAAGCAGAAACACAGAAAAAGCCTAAACAAGTAAAGTAACTTTAGTTTTTTCCAACCTCATATAACTTTTACTCTGGACAAATTTAGAAACAAATATATTTCCATTAAAGTAATAGTTTTTTTAAATTTGTACACCATTTAGTCACCAAATCTTGAGAGTATAAACTATGAGTCCACATGTGCAATTCTAATGTCAGGTTTTTAAATTACTAATACAGCAACTGTTTCAAAAATAGCACATAATATTATATGCTTAAACTCTCACAGAATCAATATGAGGCTTTTTTTTTTAAGGAAGTGTCATAATCTCTCATCATTTTCTACTATTTCCCATGACCAACTTCATATATTTTGCCTTGAAACTTCCAATAAGTATCTGGAACAATGTCAAAAATATCAGAAATTGGCACAAAATTATAAAGTCAAACTCACGGCATAAAATAATTTGTTGAACAGAACAATTCTACAACATTTGAGAAATAGAGATGAAATTTTTAATTAACTGAAATGAAAATATGATGTTAAGATTATAACAGAATTTCCCATTATGTGTAACAGTGATACAAGTAACAAACGATACATTGGAGAAAAGATGCTCTTTAGAATGACAACTCAACCAGGAATTTGGGGCCAAAACAAGTCCAGTTTTGAGGCACAACACTAAAGGAAAACTGGGGATGAGAAATACTTAAAACTGTAAGCATATAATTCCAATCCAAAGAAAAATTTTATAGCCTGTCAAATCTTTTCATTAATAGTTTTAGAGTACGCCAAAGGAAATTCTGAAAGAGGTAAAGTATAGTCCAAATGATTTTCATGAGTAAGTAGTAGAGATAAATGAGCTTTGTAACAAGAGAATACAACTAAAAAGTGATCACCCTTCAACCACCAAATAATCCTTCTCAAAGTGGTTCCCTGGCAGAGTTCTGGTGGGAGACGGTGGATAGGGGGCACCACTCCCAGGGCCGTACCTCCATTTTCACATCATGGTCCTTTGGATAGTGTTCATCTACATTTTCTCCTGCTGGCGACCGTGGCCGAGTCGAGGCGGTGACCGATAAGTCTCCTCGAGATATGAGGGTACACATATATGCATCATGAGAGAAGACATCATGTCGGATGAACTCACAGAAGAGCAGCACCAGATTCACAAATTCCACCTTTTCACATTCACTGTTTGGATCCGCTATAAAGAAAATTCAATCAAGAGTTCAGTCTCCTTTGTCCCGTAGAAAAAAACAATCAATTATTAAGGCTTAGCAATATCTTCACCACTTTCCATAATTTTATTTTTACCAAACAAAACATTATTGGAAAATTTACTATGCAGCTCTATTGTTTTGTGCAGATATGACGCATAGGTTTTGACTATCCTACTGTAATTAAAAAATACTGTCCAGTATGCTATACACAATTTCAAGTTTAAAGACCGCGGTCCCTGGTGAATAAATAACCATTTAAATAATAATATAAACATAAAATTTCATTTAAAAAAATAAATAAATAAAAAGCAAGGCTAGACTGCTGTCCTCTGTTTTTACTATTAACACTGCCCATGACTGTTTTTTATACCCTGAGTGTGTCTGTGTATTTGTGGACTTTGTCTGTACACTGCTTCAAATGAGACTTTACAATAGAACCACAACTCAAACAGTATTTGGAAAAAAATAGTGAGGGGGATTCACTGAAAAGAAATAGGGAAAATGGAATTATAACAGCACAAAGAGGAGAGCTCTGCAGTCTTTTCTTAATTTATGATCAGTCTAATTCACATGCAGATTTTTGATGTTATAACTATACTCTAAAACTTTGTATCTGTACCTTTGAAAGAAGGTTAAAAAATGTTGAGACTAACTCTACAAAGCTCAGTCCCTGGTACCATCACACTCACAAACACCAGCAGATCCAGGGAACGTTAAGCTTGATTCCCTAAACCTTAAGTCTAAATGTTTGCTCACACCTACCGCCAAATTCAATGACAGCAACCTCAACACAGAGGAACAGAACAGCCTCCTCTGACAGAAAATGAGATCCAGAACAATCAAATATGTAGAAGCAGCAAGATTTTCCCAAAGACAGAAAAGGAGGATGAGAAAAGCAAAGGGCAAATGTAAATCTCCCCTAGGATACAAGATAAGTTGGAGTTGCCAATTTCCATCACTGACAATATATTTCCTTCTGTCTGGTATCTCCCATCTTCTCATTTTCCTGCTTCAGTTCTCACTGTTCTTGCATTCCAACCACCAGCTTGGCTCCAGCTCTTGCTCTTCCTCAAGCCTAGAGTAGCCACCAAATAACTAAAAGACCCTCATCCCCAGGCATAACTCAACCCAAAACAAGCTCTTTCTCAGAGGAACTTGGAAGCAGTACTATTCATTACTGCTTTACCTCTTTCTTCTCCACAAACATCTTCCTTTCCCTCCCCTCCACTCTTTCTCTCCCTTTTCTATCACTTTTTACTTTCTGCCATTTTTCTGTTGTTCCATCACTGTTTTAAGATCCTCCCTGCTATACTTTGTTATATGAAAGCCTCAAAATAAGATCAAGCCCACTTAGCCCACACAAATGATTTTTTAAAAGTGTCCATCCACTGGGTGATCGTTTATTCCCCAAACCCTCGACTCCCCACCAACTACAGAATGAAAGACAGAAAAGGAACGCAAGATGACATGAACATCCAAGAGAGTATTGGCAAGCAGCTAACCATCTTTATAAATTATTCTCTTCTATCAAGGACCTGGTTATAAAGTACTATTGTTTGATTCCTCCCACCCCCAACTCCCCTTTTAAGATCAGGGGTTAGAAATTCAGAAATTTAGAAGATGATTTAAAAAGAGAAAATTCCAAATTACAATATACAGTGAAACATCAAGGACCTTAGCTCCTCTATTTTGGTAAGAAAAGATATAGAAAGATTTAGCCCATTAAATGTAAGAGAAAGAGATGACTGGTTTTTGAAATTATTAAAACTCAAAAATGTTTGTCTTTGAAGCTCAGCTAATTTTAAAATTGCATAAAAGTCTTCATTGAAAACATGCTACAAGATTTTGTGCAGAAAACCATACACTATATTCAGTGCCAAGAACTTTCGATGAGATGAAATTAGAAAAAAAGAAAAGAATCAGCTCAAAACAAAAAGTCAATCTCTTACAATCCCTTATTTAAGGCCTAGAAGCAAAGAGCTTTACTTACACAATGAGGGGGCCTGTGTATCCAAAAACCTTAGCAGAACATTCTGGAAAATAGGCAAACTCGATCCAGCAAGAGAAGCTGAAGAAATGGACTCCTTCTCATCTAAGACCTCCGATTCACCACATCTCTAAGATTAAAAGTACACAGGTAATTACAGAGCACATGTATAGTCACAGCAGATTATAAATCTGTTAGTTTTTTATTAACATTTAACTTCTCAGATAAAACGTAAAATTAAGTGAAATTTCTGTACGTATTTGTGAGCCATGCATCAGAAGTAAATATAATTTCTAAAAGCTGGGGAAACTATTCCAGAACGATTCAAATAATTTTAAAGAACGTCCCTTGAAAAACATTATTCATGTCAATTATAAACTCTGCACAGGCCTGTTTAGTATCCATTGAGTATACAGCATAATACAAAATAAACTACTCATGATCCCCATGCAAACCATTAAAAATAATCTGAGGTTGTCTCTATTTTTAAATAGCCCATGTTATCTATAGTGCCCACAAAAAATATTTGATTCTTTTGTGTTTGTTTTTGTCATGTGGGAGTATTTACGAGTGGGTCTAAGGAAGTGTGGTATTGAATTCCTCCAATAAGATTCTTTTATTTATTCATTATGCTTCACCAATAAGATCTCTTAGAACCTCTGGGAATCTCCAGATCATGAAACACATCTAGAGAACCTGTTTAACTTTTGCATTCTGAAGACAGAACTTACCGGGAGACCAGAAAAGAAACAGCTTAGAAGCAATCAGATCTTTGTTTTCTATTCTTTGATATCCATTTGATCCTTCCCATTACCTATTCTTTAATATTAAGATATTAACTATTATATTAAGATACTATTTTTCCAATCTATCCTCTCTTTACAATGGTCAAATTTTAAAAATGGTAATTTTTATTAGAAATCAATATCTTAAACATCTCTGAGAGAATACATTTTTAGATATGGCTACATCTACACTTATTAAAATTACAAAGTAATCTATGTGTGAACCTCTTCTGAAAGTGATCCTGCATATTAGAATGAATATATATATATACGTATATATATATAGACGTATATAGACGTATATATAGATGTATGTATAGATGTATATATATGTATATATATACACATATGTGTGTGTGTGTGTGTGTGTGTGTGTGTGTGTGTGTGTTCTGGGGCACAAGGGGGAAGAGGTAGAACAACAATAATCCAGACGACAATAATAATCCAGAAGGAAAAATGAAATTTGAGAAATTAACTTTAGTTACTAAAGTTTAATCATTACAATTCACTATTGAATAGTCTACCTATTCATAAATGTATGAAAAAAAGCAATGAAACACTTTTCTTAATTTGCACTTTGTAAAATGGGTCACTGTTTTAGACCTTAGCATCAATACCTTCGAGCCCCAATCTCAACAAAGTGATCTTTTCTGTATTTGGTGAATAGTGCTTTCCCAACAGAGAAGATGGCTATGAAAATATTCTTCCTATTTCATTTTTAATAGCTTCATAGGAAGTGGTGAATTATCAGTAATAGAGAACCAGCTAAGTGTTTATCCATTCATGCAACAAACATTTCCTGAGCATCTACTATGCACTGAGCACTATTCTGGGCACCAGGACACACACTGAACAGGCTGGGCAAGGTCCCTGTTGTCAAGTTTACATTCTACCGGGGGGGGTAAGGGGAGTAGGCAGGCATTAAACAATAAGCCAGTAAGGGAAGTAAAATAGAATTATGTGAGAAAGTGGCTGAGCGGTGGGTACTAGTAACAGATAAGGTGGTGATAGAAGATCACCCAGTGGAAGTGACACATGTTGAACTAGAGATGCAACAAAGTGATACTTTCTGAAACAGGCATGATATTTTAAAAAAAAACTGGCTCTGTAAAGATTGGGGAGCAGAATGTGCGACCAGAAGGAACAGCAAAGACCCCAAGATAAAAGCAAGTTTGGAGTGATGGAGGAGCAGGAAGACCAACGTGGCTGCAGTTATGTGTGTCCCAGGGGAAAAAGGTAGGAAACAAAGTAGGAAAGGCGGGCAGGGTGGCTCATATGAGGCTCTGTGGGCCACATAAAAAGCCATCATGAAGTTTTAGTAAGGGGACAATGTGATTTGTTTCCATTTTGAAAAGATGGCTCTGGCGGCTGTGTGGACTCTGCTGGAGAACAAGAGAAGGAACAAAGAGATGAGGCAGGAGGCCTTGCAGTTATCCATGTGAGACATGATAGCGTCCAGTCAGATCATCCACACGCCTTCTCCAGAGCCATCACTGCTAAATATCACAGGCACAAAAGAAGGCTCACTGAAAATTTTTCCCTTCAACAAAAGCTAATGTTTATGAAGTTAGCTTTGTTTTTTCCTTTATAATCTACTCTTGAGGCTTTAATTGCTTTCTCTGGGGTCAGAACACAATCTAACATAAATAATATAAATTGGTATCTATAATCGACCTCATAGTCACAACTGCCTCAAGAATATTTTCAGTTCTACTAAAATGTTACGTGGCTTCAAAATTCCTTATATATATGTATATGTAAAATATTCATATACTTGTATGTATGTACACACGTATATATATACACACACACATACATATATATGCACACACCATATATAATAATAATACAAAGGTATATACAAGCATATATGTATCAATCTTATCCTCGCAAAGGGAGATTTCTTTCTTCTTAGATATTAAAGTTTTTTTTAAAAAAAGATAACTAGAAATCGGTCCAGTATATAAACTATTGGCTTCATCAGCTTAGAAGAAATCAACTACGGAGTCCTTATATAAATTTAAACATTCTCTCTTTTCCTTCAAAAGAAAAGAAAAACAGCATGAGGATAAGAAAAAAGAATCCTCCCCAAACCAGTGTTTTTAAATGAAGGCATTCAACAAGTAGGAAAAAAACAACCTACCTCTGCCTCGATTTCCGCTTGCCTCTTCTCCAAGAGTTTTGCCACAGCCATCGCCCTGTGCTTGCCTGATCTTTTACAGCTCACAGCCCATTCACACAATAGTGTCACCACAGCTATCATTGGGGGGGCTACCTAGTGACCAAGAGAAATGGGGTACCAGCCACATCAAATGAAACATTCACCCAATGAGAGTCGGGAAGCAAGCAACGCAATATCTAAAGCTTTAAGTTTCATTGCTATATTTTGTTACAGTCATTTTAGAAAGTGTTCCCAAATCTTTTGTAATTGAAATATAAAGAATAAAACTTGAGTCATAAGAAGGAAATCACTTACTTAGAGGGGCTGAATCTGTGACAATTCCAAGAAAATTAGAGTTTCCTTACATACAGCCTTCACTTAACACAGGATCGTAACCTAGCCCATCAATCCTCCAGAACTCAATTTCAAAAGCAAACAATTTCAAAAGGGAAATGGACCATTGACTACCAAGAACAGCTGTTATGACGGCCAACCACTTCACCCCACTGTCAATCCCCTGAGGCCCTCACTCACAGCTCACAGACTCATTCAAAATTCTTAACAAGCCGGGTTACCAAATCGCCCAGTTCAATGAGGAATTGGAAGAAACAAATGGCGGTGGGCAGGGGGCAGAGATCTAGAATGCTAATCAAAGATTCATCGCACTAGAAACAATGAACATAAAAAATGATAGCCAGACATCATCAAGGAACAAAAATTAAAATCAGACACAGTTAACAAAGGACAGTAGCCTGGGCCTGTGTAGGGCCCAGCACTGCCACCAGCACTCTCAGCTATAGTGCCACAGCCTATAAATGGGCACCACAGACTGAGCATGAGAGGAGTCAAACAAAGGTCACAAGGACCCAAGTGACATGAATCAGGAGGTGGTAAATCAATGTGGGGATCACCCTTCGATGCAATCTGGCCTTTTTACTGGATCCATGCCAACCAATGGAACATCACCTCTAAGTTTTTAATATATATATATATATATATATGTCCAACTGTATAAACACTATGCCAAAAGAATTACACAGTCGCGGGGTTAGCACTTACATGCTACATGACAAGGTCTTAACTTTTTAGAATCCACAAGCTTAGTTAAGATTATGATGGCTATGAGCACATTACCTGGAAGCGTGGAACAAAGAGATGAGGCAGGAGGCCTTGCAGTTATCCATGTGAGCCATGATAGCGTCCAGTCAGATCATCCACACGCCTTCTCCAGAGCCATCACTGCTAAATATCACAGGCACAAAAGAAGGCTCACTGAAAATTTTTCCCTTCAACAAAAGCTAATGTTTATGAAGTTAGCTTTGTTTTTTCCTTTATAATCTACTCTTGAGGCTTTAATTGCTTTCTCTGGGGTCAGAACACAATCTAACATAAATAATATAAATTGGTATCTATAATCGACCTCATAGTCACAACTGCCTCAAGAATATTTTCAGTTCTACTAAAATGTTACGTGGCTTCAAAATTCCTTATATATATGTATATGTAAAATATTCATATACTTGTATGTATGTACACACGTATATATATACACACACACATACATATACATGCACACACCATATATAATAATAATACAAAGGTATATACAAGCATATATGTATCAATCTTATCCTCGCAAAGGGAGATTTCTTTCTTCTTAGATATTAAAGTTTTTTTTAAAAAAAGATAACTAGAAATCGGTCCAGTATATAAACTATTGGCTTCATCAGCTTAGAAGAAATCAACTACGGAGTCCTTATATAAATTTAAACATTCTCTCTTTTCCTTCAAAAGAAAAGAAAAACAGCATGAGGATAAGAAAAAAGAATCCTCCCCAAACCAGTGTTTTTAAATGAAGGCATTCAACAAGTAGGAAAAAAAACAACCTACCTCTGCCTCGATTTCCGCTTGCCTCTTCTCCAAGAGTTTTGCCACAGCCATCGCCCTGTGCTTGCCTGATCTTTTACAGCTCACAGCCCATTCACACAATAGTGTCACCACAGCTTCATCATTGGGGGCTACCTAGTGACCAAGAGAAATGGGGTACCAGCCACATCAAATGAAACATTCACCCAATGAGAGTCGGGAAGCAAGCAACGCAATATCTAAAGCTTTAAGTTTCATTGCTATATTTTGTTACAGTCATTTTAGAAAGTGTTCCCAAATCTTTTGTAATTGAAATATAAAGAATAAAACTTGAGTCATAAGAAGGAAATCACTTACTTAGAGGGGCTGAATCTGTGACAATTCCAAGAAAATTAGAGTTTCCTTACATACAGCCTTCACTTAACACAGGATCGTAACCTAGCCCATCAATCCTCCAGAACTCAATTTCAAAAGCAAACAATTTCAAAAGGGAAATGGACCATTGACTACCAAGAACAGCTGTTATGACGGCCAACCACTTCACCCCACTGTCAATCCCCTGAGGCCCTCACTCACAGCTCACAGACTCATTCAAAATTCTTAACAAGCCGGGTTACCAAATCGCCCAGTTCAATGAGGAATTGGAAGAAACAAATGGCGGTGGGCAGGGGGCAGAGATCTAGAATGCTAATCAAAGATTCATCGCACTAGAAACAATGAACATAAAAAATGATAGCCAGACATCATCAAGGAACAAAAATTAAAATCAGACACAGTTAACAAAGGACAGTAGCCTGGGCCTGTGTAGGGCCCAGCACTGCCACCAGCACTCTCAGCTATAGTGCCACAGCCTATAAATGGGCACCACAGACTGAGCATGAGAGGAGTCAAACAAAGGTCACAAGGACCCAAGTGACATGAATCAGGAGGTGGTAAATCAATGTGGGGATCACCCTTCGATGCAATCTGGCCTTTTTACTGGATCCATGCCAACCAATGGAACATCACCTCTAAGTTTTTAATATATATATATATATATATGTCCAACTGTATAAACACTATGCCAAAAGAATTACACAGTCGCGGGGTTAGCACTTACATGCTACATGACAAGGTCTTAACTTTTTAGAATCCACAAGCTTAGTTAAGATTATGATGGCTATGAGCACATTACCTGGAAGCGTGCGCGTGCGCGCGCACACACACGTACGCACACACACATACACACATTCTTAGCTCAACATTTCAGGTCTGTGAACTCTAAGACATCCAAGAATCCCAGGATAAGAATTCCTAAGGGGAAAAAAAAGGCATAGATGATAGAGGCTCTGTTCATCTCTCTGGCGACCAAATCAAAGTTGTGATGGAAACAAGTAGCAGCAGCAAGGAAAACTTCCCTGGGATCTAGATGAACAAGCCATACAACTAGGGAGAATCCAAGAAAGCAACCTGCAATGGCAGAAAGCAGGACAGGGCGAGGACATGGGGCTGCTTTGTCCCGAGCAGCTGAGTGAGATGGAGGCTGCAGCAGTGGCAGACTCCTCTTAAAGGGGCCGTGTCCCCGAATGTATTTTCGTGGTGACGGACCTGCTCACTCTGAGCACTAGTGCTAATCTGGCTGCTCACAGAGGGAACCAGGGACTTACAGGAGGACAGTGAATTGTTGGAGTGAAAGCCAAGGTAAGATTCACTATGTACAGAAGTGCCAGCAGTATCCATTGTTCCCTGTTGAGCTCTCCCCCACTCCCAGAGTGTGGACTCCGCGCTGCCATAGCCATGATATTATCAAACTGGTGAGGTCACTTGGCTCAGAGAATTCCCTGAAACCCTGCATTCCCCAACCTGCAGGCCCACCCAAGCCACATCCAGGTATAGCCTCAGTGAGTCAGGTGCTACTTGCTGAACAACGCTAGAGTCACACTGGAGGCAGCTGGCCTCAGTTTCTGGTGTGGCCTTTTGAGGCAACTATAAGCACAGCATCTGTGGATTGTTTGCTGAGTCTTAATAGGTGGCCCCAGAGGAGGGTACAGGCTTGGGCTAAATTTGGCCTGCAGCTGAACCCCTCTCAGGACTGTGCCACTGGACACCTACTTCACAAATTCACCCTAATAAGACAGGGAGACTTAGGAGCTTTGCTTACACAGAAACAGACATGGAAGCAGCCACGATGGGAAGACAAAGAAGCAGAAACCATATGAGAGAACAGAACAGAGATCCAGATATAATGGAGTCAACTGATCTAACAGATGCAGAGTTCAAAACACTGGTTATAAAGATGCTCTGGGCTTTTGGGAAGTATAGTTAAATTCAGTAAGAACTTCAACATAGAGAAAAAATACATGAAAATGGAAACGGAAATTGTAAAAGGGAACCAGTATGAAATAAAGGACACATTATCTGAGATGAGAAGTTTCTTAAATAGAATAAACAAAGGGAATAAAGAAAAGGATCAAATGCCCTATCTAGAGGACAGGAAAGCCAAGGACACTCAATCAGAAGGGCAAGAGATAAGATGCCAAGACTATAAAAATAATTTAAGGAGCATATGAGACACTATTAAGGGTCCAAATATCTGTCTGATTGGTGTAACCGAAGAAAATCAAGATGCTAAACAGCTGTTTGAAGAAATAATGATGGAAAACTTCCCTAACCTGGTGAAGGAAATGGACGTTAAACCTTAGGAAGCTCAGAGAATTCCAAAAATCAGAGATCCAAAGAGGCCCACACCAAGATACATCATAATTAAAATGCCAAAGGTTAAATACAAAGAGAGAATCTTAAAAGCAGCAAGAGAAAAACAGTTAGTTACCTACAAGAGAGCACCCATAAGACTGGCAGCTGATTTCTCGAAAGAAACTATGCAGGACAGAAGGGCTTGGCAAAAAATATTCGACAGGATGAAGACCCAGGATCTATAACCAACAATACTTTATCCAGCAAAGCTATCATTTAGAGTTGAAGGACAGATAAAGAGCTTCCCAGACAAAAATAAGCTAAAGGAATTTTTCAACACCAAGGCAGTATTACAGGAAATGTTGAAGGGACTTCTTTAAGAAGAAAAAACATGTATCAAAAACAGGAATAAAGAATGGTAACAACTACATTCCTATCAATAAGTACCTTAAATGGAAAAGAATTAAGTATTTCAACCAAAAGATAGAGCGGCTGAAAGGATAAGAAAACAAGACCCCTACATATAAAAAGGAAGATGGAAAAAGATATTGCTTTGATGGATCTAGAAGATATTTAAGTCAGACAGAGAAACATAAACAATATATGATTTCACTTATATGCAGAATCTAAGGAACAAAAACAACAAACTAATCAAAAACAGACTCACAAATATAGTGGACAATCTGGTGACAGAAAGAGCAGAGGGGGGTTTAGGGGGCTGGGAGGATGGGGTGAAGGGTTAAAGAAGTACAAATTAGTAGCTGATGGATGGTCACAGGGATGGGGAGCATGGCATAGGGAAAGCAGTTAGCCTTAACACGTTGGCTAGGTGGAGGGTCAGAGAAGGGAGGGAACAATTGGGGTAATCGTTTTACAAATTGTATAGATGTCTAACCAATATATTGTACACTTGAAACTAATTAAAATAAATAAATTTTTTAAAAAAAGTATTCCTAATCAGCTTTTATACACCATCAGACAATTCAGATCAGAAAAATCAGTTTACCCCAAGATTTTTACTCATTCTACCCTAAATTTCATTAAAAACATACTGACTCAAAACAAACAAACAAAAATGTTATCTGGGGAAGATACTTCAAAAGGAGCTCTGGGTCTCTTAATTTAAAAATAGAAGTAATTCAATTAAAATACGTAAAGATCGAACATAACCTTTAAAAAAGAAAGCAGACTGGGAGGAATTCCTGCCTGGATTCGATCTAATCCAGAAAAGTATAAATATAAAAGTCAGTCCAGTGAAGTACCACATGCTTAGATTTAGATTAACAAGTTACCCTAAAAATAGTGCCACCAGTTTTTAAGAGAACCTGGTTAAGTAATATGGATCATATCCACATTTATAAAGATTTTTTTTACTTCCCTCTGATTGTAAAAAGTAGATGAAAATATGCTACAAAAGAATAAACAATTGAATTACGCAATTTAAGTAATAGGCTCTGCTTGATCTAGAGATGCGCAGAAAACACATAAAGGAAAAGACTTCTCTTCAACACAACCAGATTTGAGTAATGTGCCAGAAAAGAAGTCCTAGGAAGAAGTCAATTCACTTCCAAAAGCTCTTACTAAACACCCATGAGAAGCCAGGTACTGAGGAAACAAAAATTTTAAAGCTCTGGTCCCTGTTCTCAAAAAGTTCATCTTCTATCGAGAGAAAAGCAGAAAAGATAACTAATCATAAAGCAACTAGTCATTTTGATGGAGTAGAGGAGGAAGTAAGTCGCATCCACCTGCACCTTCCTCATCTCGTAGGAGATGAGCATCCTCTGTCCCAGCTTATAGAGATCTGAAACCTTAACTTGAAGACAGGCCTGCAGTCTTCCTGTTGCAGCTGTAAACCCAATTTGTGATTACCAGGAATTAAGTGAACTAAGAAAATCAGAGGAAAATGCTGCTGAAAAGACTGTGTTTTTAAAAGTTTCATCACTGAAATTTTCTTGTTTTCATGTCAATTATGCCCATAACAAGTTATAGATTTCAAAATCTATTTTCAATCAAAATGTATTTTTCCAAACTGGCCAGATTCTAATAGCGCAAAGTCCACTCCTATCTGAATATCAAACAGCCTACCACATGATGCCATTCTTTGCTTAGGATGCTAGAGTGGTGGGGAGGGAGGTTCTGTGCTGATTTTAGAAGAAACAGGAAAATATTCCAAAAGAAGTTTTACAAAAATTTACACTTAACTTCTCAGAAGACTATATTGGAAAATCAGGTTGTACTATGCCAATTTAAAAGCAAGCTATCTCTACAATATGAATAATTACCCAAATATTTATATATTTGGGTAATAAAGCATTTCCTTAGTTTTGTATTATTGAAAAATTACGTTCTAAAATAAATTATTGTAATTTTGGCATTATTTTTCAAGATAATATCCCAATCAAACCTTCTCCCCCATCCCGCCCACTATCTACTCTGAAGCTTTGGTCTTCATTTTAAGTGGATTTACCACTAATTATCAAAAA